CCCCCCCCCCCCCCAATAGTTGCCATGACTTTTGAAGTAACCCTCGTATATTCTGAAAACTGAATTTATATATAACATGAAACTGAACATGACTGTTATTAAAATTGTAAAGTAATAAACAGAATAGGCTTACACAGGCAAGTTAAGTACTACACTCTGACAAATAATTGTGAGAACAACACAAATTTAAACATATATGTTGTCATTGTTCAAGCAGTGTGTCATCTTCCATTTGTCTCCCTACATCCCAGTAGTACTTAGTTGTGAATGTGGATTAGCAGTGAAATTTCAGTAGATGAATTAAAAATTAAATATATGGTTTATTGTAAAACATTTTTTAACTTAATGTTTAAGTAGAAAGTAAAGAAAAATCTCCATTTCAATAAACATTCACGGTTACCTTCAAACGTACCCATTTTTCAGTTTAATTCAAATCAATCATAATAATAAAACTGGCCTGTTTCCATTTCAGACCAAAGACAAATTTGACTGAAAATAGTAAGTGAATGCTCACTTTATAAAATATATTTTTATTAAACTTTGACACAAATCACCAGTGCAGGTGTTTTAATCTGAACTTGTTATGTAGTATACTACATGGAAAATTATTCACCAATTTTAATAGCAAGATAGAAATGAAGTTGCCTCAATTCAGTTCAGTACCATTAGATGTAAGATGAGTAATGGGAAAAAAAGTTAAAATTTCTACACCATACACGTGAAACTAGCCAATAAAGTATAATCTAGTGAGCCAATAAATGTGTATGTACCAAATTTAAAGCCTGTTTCCTTTCTAGAAATCTATTGAAGAACTGAAACAAAGGTGGAACTTCGGTTGTTATGAGTTAATCCATTTAATTTACACCACATGTATAAGAACATGCTTTTAACCACATTTTCAAACACGTAGCAGGAGAGAAGTTGTAAGGGAGAAACTTCATCAATCCATACATATTTGTCACATGAGTTCCACCTACAAACTTTATTTGTTGTACAGAATTTTAAATTTGTATCACAAATGAAGAAAGATCATCATCATCATCATCTAGTTAGTTTCCTTCCTATTACTGCATACACTTTCCTTTTCTACCAGATAAAATAAAATTACACTGATTCATATGTGATTATTATAATAATCTCAATGTTAATACATGACAATAATTTTGTAAAGCTGATGAAGAGGACTTTAAATTTATCTGCTATAATGATAGCTTAAATTTCTATTGATTCTTATATCAATTGAATCCAAGAAGTGTGATACTGTTTGCTTGAAATTAAAATAAGTGCATGTTGGAATTAATCATTGCTCCACATTCACGTACGTCTAAGCCAGCATGCATGCCAGCATGCAGCAAGCAATATGTGATTTCACTACTGGAAAACATCATACCTGTATCTCTGAACTTACTACTTTTCTCCTGGTAGGCTAAAAGCATTGGATAACTAAGTCAGTACTTAATTTTGAAAGGTTATTTGTGTGTGTAGTATTAAATGTGTATCAAAATGGACAGACGTCCTACAAGAGTTCAATATCTAAGATACTGCTTTCAGAGAATGTAGTGTTTAAATGAGTGATGCAATGTCTATAGGAAATAGTAGTATTGTGAAGGTTGAATAGAAATCTCTGAACGAAATACAACACTTCTGAATTGGAAGTCACAAATCATACTGCATAAAATTACTGAAAAAACAGGAAATGCAAATTATTTTGCTTTTAATTATTATTTTCATGTTTAATTAAATTGCATAATCAATACAGTGATGCCAAATTACCATTTTCTTACACCAGGGGCTTACTGATATGGTACAATCACATCAAAATTTTGTCATATTTATTCTTCTTTTTCCGGTTTAACAATGTTTGTATATTTTCCGGTACCCTTTACGGGTCCCCAACTTTTTATTTGGCTTGATCTATGGACATTCGGTATGACTCCTTGGACGAGGGATCGGCCCGTCGCAAGGCCTCTACCTATCTACAGGACAGAACAACACAGAAAAACATCCATGGTTTGAGTGGGATTCAAACCCACAGTCCCCACGACCATGCTACACAAGGCCCACGCCTCAGACCGCACGGCCACTGCGGACCCCATTCTGTCATATTTAAAATGTTTAAAATTGTACTCAACACCAGTAGACAGAATTTTAAGTTCAATAATATCCAATCCCCAGACATTTATATGCAACCTCCTAGTTTGGTACGATCATACTATTCACAAATTCAAATTCTACCAAGTTTACTGATTAAGACAATAATGCATTGCACCACTTGTGTGTTTGTTACCATAAAGAAATATTTACACTGTTAATCTACAAGAATACACTGTGTTGAACACTTATTAGTAGCAACAAGTTTATTGGATATAAAGAATATCTTTATGAAATAACATTTGCATATGTAACACTTCAAGCAATGATTCTATCTGAAGAGGAAAGACATTTACAGAATCACTTCAATTATCAAATGTTTAGCAAATATTTCTTGCTCACAGAACAGAAATTAAGCAGTAATGTACTAATACTTATAAAGGGAAATCAATTTTCTTTCTTAATTATACTGGGAAATAGCACACATAACATGAGGTACATTATTCAACATTATACTTTAATACAGAGTATTTAATTTAAAATGCAACTCCTCCCCCACAAAAAAAAAACAAGTTTATGTAAGCTTTGGTGACATCAATGTAACAAGACAGATGAGTTGTTTTATTTCAGTTTTATTTTTTAGGCAGAACTTGCCATACAATTTTAAAGCAGATGCTGAAAACATCTATCATCGTCTTGAACACAAGCATCCACACTTTTTTTCATGTGACTTTGCAAAAACAAGTGTTACTAGGTGATACATTGTTTCTTATTTGGTACTTTCTCATTAGGATAAACACCATTGAATGCTTCACAAACAGCAGCAAATGATTTTGATGTGAAATAATGTTTGAGAACAAACACATGTTCTGTTCATGAATAGGCCTACACCATATTTCCTCCAGCACAGCTTCTGCAACTTGTACGAGCAGCATTCTAGCAACCGCGGTGACCATAACCTATGTATCACAGGGGAGGTTGGGGGGAGTCTATTACAATAGGTGGACTGTGCCCCGCTATGATAAGTGCCTCAATAATGGCGTTACCTATGTCGAAAAGTAGCCTAAGAAACGTAGAATCTGATGAAAATAATTTTTTTTAAAAAATTATATTTTGTTTTTTGTTAATTCCCAAACGGTACATACTTTCCGGATACGCCTCATATTTCAATATTTTCAGGAATAGAAGAGTGTGACAGTATATACTTAATAATAATGCCTTTAATTTTTCTGAAAGAAACTCAGCGATATATAATTATTGAATGTAGAGTTTGAATTCACTTATCAGGAGAGTTAAATCCAACAACTTGTAACCAGTATTTAAGATGTGCTGATTTAAGCTGTCCTGCCGACTCTCTAAATTCAACTGTATATGATTTTATACAGGTTATCCAAGAAATTATGTAATATTACCCCAGAAAACACCAAAACTATTTTCTCCCCATTTATACCAAGCATAAATCATAAGAATCCTAATAAACAAATACAATAATTTACAGAAATCTCAGAGAAAATTATGGTGCATGAAGCTGTAGGTACAAAAAAGTTAAATCTCTTCATCAAGTTTTTTGAGTTCATGTAAATCAGACATTATCAAACTAACAAATGCTCCAATTCCTCCTCTTCAAATAGAGAATATATGTAGGATGTGCCAAGGTGCGAGACATTAAATACTCGAGCACACTACTTACATGTAACATCCCGTTCACATGGTAGTGAAGGTCCCTCTGAGTTGTTGGCAACACACACGTAGGTACGGAAGTTTTCAACATGACTGTCTAGTAACAAGGTACTCTGAAGCCCTTTCTTCTCAATATTCTCTTCAAGTGTGTCATTTTCATTCTTTATTCGCCAAGTAAAGTCAACTTCCTTGGGATTTGCATGTGCTTCACAAATTAAAGCAAGCTTGCCATCTACTCCACTTTGTGTAATTCCGCATTCTGGCTTATCTGTAAAAGTAAAATACACCATTAATTTATTTAATTCTGATTAGATATTTTTATATTTTAATCTTTATATCATTACATATGACATTGTTCACTACCGGAAGAAAATTTAAAACAATCAAAGTTTAAACAGCTGGATCCACTGCCTTCTTCTAATGAGTGCTCTGTTTCCTTCAGTACGTAAATTTTCTACCAGATTTTAAAAATTATCAACAATGACTAATTTGTATTTTATGAAATGTGATATTGTAGTTTCTATGGGATACTTGGATACTGGGAACGACCCGTTCTTCAAGTGCCGAGCACTGCGAGTCCCAACTTTACGTTAGCTTGATCTATAGACATTCGGTAGGACTCCTTGGATGAGGGATCGGCCCGTCGCAAGGCCTCTACCTGTACACAGGACAGCACAACACAGAAAAACGCTGACAAACATCAATGGCTTGAGTGGGATTCGAACCCACGGTCCCAGCGACCAAGCGGCACAAGGCCCACGCCTCAGATCGCGCGGCCACTGCAGACCCCAGTTTATATGGACTCCCAGTAATTAGAATATGTTCCATCTAAATGTGGACACAGAAAATTAGCTCCAGCAATTGACCAATTAATTAATGGATTACTTAGAGTGATTTTGTTTTGGATACAAATAATTGTGATGATAATGACCATCAGTAACTGTGATAACTTTATTAGTAGATATGATTAAAAGATATATCCATTACAAACTATGTGCTAAGAAAGAAGATAACTTATGTTTTAGTAATTGTAATAGGAAGCTAGTGATTGCAAAATGTTAATATTGTAAAGGTAAACAGTACTAAATGTTTACTGAATATTCCTCTACTATTCCTATTCTCTCTTTAAATCATTCAGTTATGTGGATTAGTATAGTAATTATTAATTTTCTTCATGATTTTTGGCAGCTACAGGCAGACTGGCAATCAGAGTGATTGATGATCAACATGTTAAAATGTGTTCTCGACAAGTCTTATTAGAAGTGAGACATTTTTACAATTTTATTCAAAATTAAGTACATTCTTTAGAAATGATGCATCATACACTTACAAAGAACATTGATGAAGGTTTTTTGTGTAATTCTTCCATGACGGTTGAAGGCTTCACAGGTGTAGTTGCCTCCACTATCACGTGACACAGAAGACAGTATGAGTGCATTATTTCCTCTTGTACTGAAAGTACTTGTATCATGCTTCCAAATATAGGCGGCTTCAGGGTATGCCGTAGCACTGCACAGAACTTTCTCTGGATTATGCCGTTCAGTAACATTCACAATGCTTTTTGAAACTGTGATGTTTTCTGGAGGATCTGAAAATTTTCAATACATATACACATACACACACATGTGCACATGCACACAGACACACATAATTTACTTGAATGTGTCTGATACTAGTATAAGTTTGCCTACTCTATTGATAAATTATAAATAAACTTGGAATGTACTTCTCATATCTTTTGTCGCTGTTTCAACATTTTTTTATGGCCCTAAAAATGGTCTGTGCTGATGTGGATGCTATCTGTAATGAAGTTTCTAGAAGTTTATAAGCTCAGTGCAAAGTATAAAATTAACTTTGTTTTGAAGTAGCTGTTGAATGTTTTGGACAACACTAAGTTATCAATGTTGTGACAAAGGTCACTAATGATTCTTAAATACATCTGATATTTGTAATAAAATGACTTATTAAAGCACATAGATTAATCCATCCATGTGTATTATACAAATAAAATTACCACATTAATTTACTTATTTTCCTGAATATCATGCAGTATGAAGATTTCTGTCTTCTGGATTGTTGCACTGTGTAGTCTGGTCGATGTTAAACAACGTTTCAGACAGACAGAAATCTTCATACTCACCGCTGTGAAAACCTCAAATCTTACATCAAGCAGTATCCTTTCTTTTTAACTTTAATTTTGATTCAAGGTTATGGAATTATCTTATATCTGTAGATGACAACAAATACATAAAGAAACAAACAAACCGACTTAAGAAGCAACAAATTCAATATACATACATTCAACTCTAAATGTTGTACTGCTTTTTACTCCAGATCCAACTTCATTGTGAGTGCTCTGGCATGTATAATTGGCACTGTCATGGATGCGATCTAATTGTCCACCTGGCCAGGCAGACATATTCCATATCAACATTGATCTGACAGATTCAAAATCATTGGTGCGTGTGTCAGGAGGTATCACAGTGTTGCTCACTGAATACAAGGAGAATGAACTGTTCAAGTTTAGTAACTTTCCATCCTTAAGCCACTGAACAGAACAGAGTGGTGAGCATTCCACTCGACAAGATATATTTATGTTTGATGAATTAAACAGGGCACCATGATATGGTGGCAGTCGCTCAATAAAAGTAGGAGGAGCTGGAAAAAAGAAAGGAAAATCAGCCTTAACAAAATGTGACTTAATAATCTGCATATTTGTTTTTGTAATATAAATTTTTACTCTTTTGACTATCTTAGCACGGTGAACACATACATGGATTTTGAATATATATATATATATATATATTTCTTATTATCTTGATTTTGCACATATCTATTACAATTTGTTATAATTATCTAATGTACATAGATGTATACAATGACTCAAATCTTGCATATTACCAGACTCTCACATTCCCGACATTCAACTGGAATATTAACTTTTCGAGCTTGTAAACAATAATTTGTGTACTTGCATACATCATAAGAGCCATACTGAGTAGAGTGCATGTGTAGGTATAGGCATGAAGGACAAATAAAAATGTTCTTAAATGTAGATACACAAATTACATAGAAAATATTAGACAGTTTAACTTGTTGGTATACTATTATTGTTGTTGTCGTCGTTGTTGCTTTCAATAACGATAACCATGTTCATAGTCTAATTTGTATTTCACTTAGTAAATATAACTAATATACACGTGCTGTCCTAAAAAAAGGTGCTTTATGCAGGACCTCATTTCTTGGTACCAAATCACAGTTGTATATGAACAAGAGTCAGTTTCTTCAAACTTACCGAACACCTCAATATACACTGTAGCAGGATCTCCCTCTCCACCCTTATTATAGGCCAAACAGGTGAAGTTAGATTCTGTTTCTAGTGTGACTGGATCAATTGTCCAATTGGCTGTTGTCACATCTTGAATGAGGTGCGTTCCACGCAACCAACGATATGTCGTAGTCTCCGGCCGCCCTGCGTCATCCACGCTGCACCTCAATGTCACTGAACTCTTCTTTATCACTCCAGTTGGTTCATATTTAAGTGATGCTGCCCCAGGTGGATCTGAAAATAATATTACAAGAATATTTTAACAAATTTTCCCTTTTATTTATACAGTATAATTTACCTAAGTCAAAACTGGATTTGTTCCTTTCGGCAAGCTTCCTGTCTTGCTTCTGTTACACTTATGAGACTTTATCACATATAAATTGTTTGGGGATTGTTCTGGAAGAAGAAGTAGAGGCCATTAAAAATAGTCCCCATGGGTGCTGAAGCAAGCATCCCCTTCATGCACTAGGCAATAAATCCTATGCATAAGGGAACTCTCTGGGTTAAAGCTGGAACCACTGCACCTGGCACACATGGAGGTCACATAGTGAGAGATTTGGGTTGTATGTGGGATCATCTAACACCTTTCAGCTCACGAAGCATAGCATGTGTTTAGACAGTAGGCGCCACATGAGATGACAATGTGTGAATATGCTGGAATACTTTCTCTTGATGGCAGAATGCATTCTCCCATTAATTTCAGCTTTCTGACAACCATCAGCACCAAGGAATTAAATTACAGCCCCTTGGTTCTGTTACGATGATTCTGCACCTGGAATGTCACATTGTTCCTGGTTGCGCCAACAAGCCTGTTCTGTTGTACAGGTAACCAACTGCTGGTTTGTCATATACATAGCTACATGATCACCTGCAACCCAACCCACTATACTTGCAAACAGCATCACAAACTGGTTTCATTTGAAAAACCCTCAAATTATGCCTTTACAAGTTTATTTGAATAATTGAACACAAATTAAACTTGTGTGTGTGTGCGTGCGTGCATTGTGACATATTTAAGAAATAATTAAATTATTTTATGTAGCGCACGCATTCTCACACACACGTGTGTGTGTGTGTGTGTGTATATATATATTTATGTTGAGTAATTTGTTACAGTCTGTTAAGTCACAGACATTTTAAGATTTTATTTTTGATTTCAGTGGATCAAATTTTCTGTAATGACACCAATTCTGAGAGAAACAATTTTTCGCCATTATTGATGTTTACATATTTTTCATAATCTTAAAAGTAAAACAGATATACACATAAGTTATTATATTACAAAAACATGACAGCAGTAATGTACAGGAAATCTTATCAGACGAAAATACTAGTACTACCATGTGTTGAGAAAATTTGAAGTGTGCTTACACGCATGTTTCTGAAATGCCTTAATTAAACAAAACTGTTGTATAGGAGGATAATAATTTTATAATCTTTATCATAGAAGACTTAACCAAGATTTAAACTATCTACTATACGGCTCCCAGACGTAAACTCTAGGGTTTAATGGTATGCTACTGCAATGCATGATCAGCTGGATTTCACATGTTCTGACGCATGGCTGATAAAGGTTAATGATCATCAAACTGAATAATTAAATGAAGTTTAAACTTACAATAAACTGTAAGTTCTTCATCTGGAGAAAGTGGACCCCATCCAGCTTCATTCATGCCCTCACATGAATAATTTCCATGGAAACTGCGTCCTACATCCTCAAGCAGCAGCTTGCTGGGATCAATGTCACAGAACATATAATCGGTAACATTTCCCCCGCAATCAGGTAACTCTTTGAGCAATTCCCCATCCAAGTACCAGCGCACTGCCTGCAAGATATCAGGATTCCCAGACTCCACCTTGCACATCAAAGTTATATTCAGCCTGTCCAGCTCACTCACTGGCGTTGGTGGTTCCATTGTTAGCTGCACAATTGGTTTGACTGCAACAACAAACATCAGTTTCAAGATGACTGCTGATGTGGCACTACAACTCTGTTAAGTCCCTGTTTTCAGTTTACCATTGTATGTTCATAGACACAAGAAGGAGCAAACAGTATACATATTTTTAAAATAATATGAAGTTACTCCATTGGTTTGTTTAGAACAAGCAAGAACAATCACTGGACACAGAAAGAATTTCAACCATGGTGTATATTACGTTAACATTAAATATCATCTTCTTCTTTATTACAACGTCTCCCTCACAGGAGGTTGGCGACATATTATGAACAGGATCCTTCCATCCTTTTCTCGGACTGGGACCTGTTCATATACGTTCTTGGCAGATGATCCAGAAGTGGTTTGCCATTGCCTTCTTCTGTGTGTGAAGGGAGTAATTGTTGGGATGCCACGGAGAAACCGGAGAAGCCCCCGGAGGAAAACTCCCGGACTGGGACCTGTTCATATACGTTCTTGGCAGATGATCCAGAAGTGGTTTGCCATTGCCTTCTTCTGTGTGTGAATGGAGTAATTATTGGGATGCCATGGAGAAACCGGGGAAGCCCCCGGAGGAAAACTCCGTGTTGCCTAGACCACGGCCTTGCCCAACACAAGTTATAAATTCTGGCACCGCCGGGAATCGAACCCAGGATTACAAGGCCAGCGTTCTAACCGCTAGACCACCGCGGCGTAAATATCATCAGTGGGAGTTAAAAAAATGGGCGGACTAAATATAAAAGAATTGTTATTCCTAGGCAACACAGCTGTCACATATTTTTAATAAAATCTGATGCAGCAATACAATAACGTTATATATTCTATTAACATTCTATATGTATTACATGGAAACGTACGACACTAGACAGTCGTAATTATGTTCAAGTACTGTGTTACTTTTATTTATATGGAGTACTTCCAACAGAGTACTGAAACTCTTCCCCAGTCTCGATATTTGTATTAAAGCAAAATGGTAATATTCTTTGCAAGATTTCTTATACGATCATTTGCACTCGCAACACACTACGTACTTACAGTAGACAGCGACGTAAACCGCACTGTTAGATTCCTGGCTTCCGACTTTGTTCCTTAGTTCACATGTATACGCTCCTTGGTCATGTCGGGTTGAATTCTTTATCACTAGTGTTGGCTGGTCAATTGTACCTCCTTCATAATGATCTGGAGTCAGTGTCAGCTTCTCACCATCTCGAAGCCTGCAAAGACGAAAACAATTATAAAGGACATTTAATTCTTACTTACTCCCGGTAACGAGGAATATTTAAATACTAAAGATAGAAAATACAACACTACATTTGAATAACAATAAATTTGGAAAAAAATAATATTTTCCTGTTGTAATTTTGATATTATGTTCTGAGAAGTACGGAATCAGAACATCGACAACATTATATTTAAAAATTAGTTTTGGCACAGTAAAATTTTAGAATTAAAAAGGAATAGTTTATTAGAATTGCGCAATAATCCATTTTAAAATCTATTTCTGTTTCGGTCAGCAGTAGAGAGCACAGATCGATCTCAGTCTCAATTCATATCGATCTAATGCATTTAGTTCACAAGATTTCCCTATGGTGGAGGAAGGATCTGACCGTAACGTAACGCACCAACCGGTCAACCAGAGAACTTTTTAAGAGATTCATAATTTAATTTAAGTGTCGCCAGAAAATGAAAGTATGACTTCACATTTTCCAGATAAAAACCCACAATTTTTTCTTTAATTTTGTACCAAAAGAATTACTTTACATAAAAACAACAAAACAAAATGTGAGCTGGGGCTAGGCGTGCTATGTACGTCGGACGTCATTGAAGGGTTGATGTTAGATCAGAACTTCGTGTAAAAAAAAGTTCAATGGAAGTTTGATGAAGACACCTGATACAGAATTCAATCTAAATTTGTTTGAATTTAAAATGATCGACTACAAGAACCTTGCGAGCATGCATTCATATGATCCACTTAGTGGAAAGAACATACAAAATTTGACCTGAGAAGAAACTTTACATACAAGCCTACAGACACGCACGCAAATAGGACCACTTTTATAAGTGTGTAATCACACAGTCTACCTAACTAAATTATTGTTTCAGTTAACTCCATAAAACAGAGACTATTTCGAGAAGATAATTGCCAAAAAGCTAATGAACTTATTATATACTCTTTATGGAACCGAATGGTTGAATACCACGTTCGAAAGAGCCTGACATTAGTCCCTATCCCGAGCCTGATCAATTCAATCCACACACTTATATCATATGTCCTTAAGGTGATCTCAGTATTATCCTCCCATCTACGAATATGTTTCTCAAATAATTTCTTCCCTTCATGTTTTCATTATCGACAAAAAATTTGTAAGCATTTCTCATCTCGACCATGGGTGTTGTAAGCCCCGCTTTTCATCCTGCTTGATTTGATCGCCCTAATAACATTTGTTATCGAAAACTAGAGGTATGTATGTATAGACCTATTCATAACCCGCAACCACAGCATGACCCAGTCGGTCCTGAATACAAATGTATACAGCGGTCGGCAGATCAACACGTGTTCCAAACTACTGGTACGAACAAACCGAAGTACTCTGCAGTTGATGTATGGCTGCTATTTAAGTAGAGTGGCCCACATACTAAATCGGAGGTACCTATATTCAGCGACTAGGTATGTACACAATATGCGAACAAAACGCTAGGACTCACTCGTGAGTCAAATACACAATGACGACTAGCACAGTTGTTGTGGACAACACAAAGAGTCCTTCGGTACAAACAGCAAGTGGCCTTAGTCAAGCAAAGTAAGCAACAATGCTCCCTTGTCACCATTCAGAAAGACCCCATTTATCAGACGATCTACGAGGTTAGTTTGTCACTAAATAAATAATACCCTCTCTCACGCGAGAAGTTACTGACATCCCCACTGAAAACAGCGGCTGTTTTAACATCGAGGTACTTTGTTGCTGATTAACAGTAACCGGAAGTATGATAATCCTAAATCACCGACATTCTAAGACAGAGAACAACCTTACTCTTTTCTTTCATGCCCTCTCGGAAATGTTTGGGACATTGGTATGACAAAATAATGCTGAATATAATGTAACTAACTAACTAACTAACTAGATGGTTTACCGAACTCGAAGGTTCATTACCGAATTAATCAAACCCCTCCAATGGACCCTGTCCTGGGCCAACAAAATCCAGTCTCTTTCAACTCCTATGTCCCATAGATCCCGCCTGAGATTACCCTCCCATCTACGTCTAGGTCTCCCCAGAGGTCTCTTCCCCTCAGGCTTCCCAACCAATACCCAGTGCACACCTCTTGTCCCATCCATGCGCGCTACATGCCCCGTCCATCTCATTCTTTTCGACTTAATCACCCTGACAATACTGGGGGAGGAGTACTGAATATAATGTATGTGTAGAGAAATATAAACTCATTGGAAAATACTGCTGTCACTTTTATCAAGAATTCAGCGAATAGAAACAGACATTACTTAAAATTTACAAGCACAGAAATAAATGTATAAAATTTATGCAAGTTTTGAATATCTAAACACGGAATCAAAATCACTAGTTTCCACTTTAGCTAATAATTTCAATCAGGACGAATATGAACTGAATGTAAAGCTGAAAATCGTGGAGGAATACAAGGAACTTGTACATGCCGGGAAATTGTTCGTGTATTCTACACGATTCTCCCCCCCCCCCAACATCAATTCCCTGCAGTTCCTATACATAGGTTATATCTAGGATACAGATAACGCAACAAAATGCTTCCATGCTTCCTCGTTCTTCCTATTCACAGAAAACAGGGAGGGTTATAATATTCGTATCTATTATTCGTTATGATGGCCCCGTAGGAACGACTATAGGTAGGTAGTTTATTGTAAAGAACTGTTCTTTTCTTCCGAATTTCTTATCTCCTTTGATTGCACCTCTATCCTCTGAGTTTTTCAGATGGTCATTCTCAATACACGAAGCAACGGAGTTGAGAGAGAATTGTTGTTTTGTGGAGGGAAGAACCCTAAATCCAGTTCTAGCATGGAGAAAAGAAGACCTTAAAAGTGGAAATGGGAAAGGGTGAGGGGTCTTTGTGTCCCATAATACCAGATCGATGGTATGGTTTGTAGAATAGCCAATCTTATTTACTAAACCACACCTACTTGATGGCACCAACACTTTTCTGCCATTCACTGGTAAAGAATTATTCTCAAACCACCAGAGTAATAACCCCTTTCAAGGGTTGCAGGGAATATTCTTCTAATGAGATCAATACTGGTCAACAACAAATACCCCAACCAAGGGCACAAAGCAACGAATCTAACATAAAACATTCCCCTAAGGGAGAAATACAAATACAGGCACTGCAGTTATTTAACACTGTTGGTCTCAAACTACACTCAACTGACCACAAATTTTACAAATCTAGTCACAATATATATTTTTAGGAGCCTTTCCTTGAATTTGCAACAACCGTTCTTTGTCTGCATTGACGATAAGCATATTTACATTCACAAAGTCTACAACACATTCAATAAACACACATATAAAGCGGTCGGTTGTAATTACAGGCGGAAATAGACACATAAAATCCTTCATAATGTGAAATTTCCAGTAACTCAATACCTGTTGGAATAGTTTACGACAAACAGTCGGAAGGCAGACGTATAGCATAACGATTCTGAATTTATGAACTAATTTAATACTGTTTCTCCATCTTATCTGAAAAGTAATTAAAAGACTCAATACAGACCTGACCATACATTCAAATAATATTAAATATGCCTTCATTATTGTTTAATAAGCTAATGTACGATAAGCAGATAAGGGACACACAAAGGTAATATAACCAATTGAACTAGCCTATGTAACACATGAATACAACATTGTACAGTGATCTACCCCTCCTGTAGCGAACGCATATTTGATTATATATTTTCATATCATAGAATTAAAAGAATAAATCGTTTAGTGGATTGAGCTTGATAAAATATTTACAAAATTATGGAAATAAAAACGAAAAGTGTTAAAATAAAATAAGAATAAATTATTATAAGAAAATTAATATTTTAAGCAGACTTTTAAATCTTCTGTGAGAAAACTATATATAAAACAATAAAATACTTTTTAGATCTGAATCCCATCCACTTTACCTGTAATGGAAAGTGCCGTCACCTTTTAATCCTTTATGTACTCGCGGCGCTTGAAAGTACCACACATTAATAACGTGTAATATAATTCTTCTGTACTTGCTTATATCCTAATAGTACGCACAAGTACCCATTCATTATAGTATAGCTTTTTCGACTAGATGGCAGGAGCTTCCTCCTTCATATCCAGCGTTCTCGTATAAAATTACTATTATAAAAACCCATCTAAAATTTGGCAGATAACAGGATAAAGTTATGACGCCGAAATTCTGTTGTTTAGAACAAAATTGAAGATGGGGTAATGTTTTACTGTTGTTTTAATATGTAGGAAAATGATGCTTTTGCAAGCCACTCATATTTGTGGTATAACAGACATTGAACCATATTTTAAGAAAATTCTTTATTTTGTTTTCTTTTTAAGATTTCTTATTAAGAAGAATGCTTCTAGCGTTTTGCAAATCACATTTAAAAATATATATATCTCTTTTTACATGAAAAGGTCAGGCCAGTTATTTAATGTAATTAATCCTTCGGTCTTCCATTCATCCATGAAGTACTACGTACACTGAAGAATCTCTCATGCGCACTACGTTGTGTTACGTTTCAGTCCGCGTCTCGCCGTGAAATTAAAGCTTTTTATTTGTATTTTACGAGCAACCATGCCCTAAACAAGAAGAATTAATGTTATCAGTACAAAAGGTATAGAGGCTATTAACAGAGATAAAATAAAATAAAATAAAATAAAATAATAAACGATTCATTAAAAGGGTGTCATATTTATCAGAGTCCATGACGTTACTACTGATCTCAGAAAGGTGCCCTCGTAAATACGGTGTTTCATTCTTTAGCACTAATAGTTTGCAGCCGAGGATCGTCTAAATAGTATTTAAGAATTCAATACGTAACGCAAAGAAAACACAATAGTTTAATATAACAAAGATAAACTGTCTAATGCTGTTTAATCGCCGTTTACATAAGAATCGTACGAAAACACACAAATACAAAATACAGAGTTACAGATTGCCAAACCAGCTGAGACGTCGTTACCACTGTAATTTAAG